GAAATTCCACTTCCACCTTCATGTCAAATTATATTGCTTTTGACACATCTTCTCCTTTCAAACTGTTTGCTTTCTTTTAATTGACAGAAATTTTGTTTTGTATTACCTTCATGGTTATGGAGACTGTATACCTTTTACACCCCCACTTAGTGGTGACTATATTGCGACCAACTTGTTCCTCCGTCTATCTATTCATCCGTTCGTTTAGCCACTCGTCCGTTTTATCGTCCTGACTTCATTTGAATTTGTCATATTCAGTTCCGATTTAACGAGAGCATTCTTGAGGGATTCCACAGAATCCACTAGTTTATACTATCTACTTATTCGACTGATGGACCTTTTGTCGATGATAATAGAAAGACTGCATTTTTAGTCAGCAGCTTAAATTGGCAGGTTGTAACGTGTGATCATTTTTGGGATATGTCGGACACAGAGTGGGGTATGACAGTCTCCGGGACAAGTTATTAGCGTAATATTACTGGTAAATTATAACGTCAGGGATTTCTTTACCAGAAATTACTTAATACCTTTACTAAATTCTATCATAGATACAAAGGTTTGGTTTGGATGTTTGGCTGTACCTGTAGAAAACTCATTTCAAACGGAATAGCACATCCTTAATTTTACAGTGATGTTATTTACCGAACCCGGAAATTGAGATACGACCCGGGTAAACTTATCAATCCTTTAAATAAACGTATTCTAAAAGGTTATCAATTCAACACTGTAATTAAACCTTTGAATATTGTTTTTTTATTGGTATAAGTATTGATTTTGTTATCAGTATATTAAAACTATACTTAATATTATTGTTATACACATATTCACTTTCACGGGACTACAATCTGTCGGTACCTATATTTTGGCATTGCACAAGGTCGTGGTTTGTATATATAATTTTCTCTGACTGTTAACGACGTCTTTACGCTAAATCCATTGGGTGTTGGATCTGTATTGATTGATATGTTAGTCTAAGATACATAATTTTTTTATTAGCTGTTATTGGCTTTGACCTCGCTGTCAGTAACTGCGAGTACCCTCAGATTTGTTGTGAAAGGATGTTTAAATACCCTGTCACGTCCGGTCTGTGTTTTTATGCTTTGTATCGATCAGGTGAGTTGAGCCCTTTTTAACAGAATTTTATAGTTTGTTCTGATGTTGTACTGTTGTATCACTGTCCAAGGTTAGGAGCAGGGTTGGCGCCTTCAAACTAGTTTAACTCCGCCACATTCTGCATGTGCCTGTCCCAAGTCAGGAGCCTGTAGTTCAGTGGTTGTCGTTGTATCATGTCTGTCATATTTGTTTTCCATAAATTGTTTTGTAATGAATAAGGTCGCTAGTTTTTTCATGTCGAGGCCTTTTATAGCCGACTATACGGCTAAACATGTATATGTATATGTATAGGGTTTTCTTATTGATGAAGGCCGTACGGTGCCTAGAATTGCTTACTTTCACTTCATTTAAACTTTGGTGGATAGTTGTCTCATTGGAAATCATACCACATCTCCTTATTTTTATATAGAAAAAACAAACAAACATACAAATAACACACAAAAAGCCCAAAATTGGACACAAAAAAAAAGAGAGAAAAATGTCGTATCATGTGCATATATATTTTTTTTTTAAGTGTTTAAAAAAAAAGGAATAGATTTATTTATAATGAAAACAGACATTACGAGTTAAAATAAAATTAGCTATTCAACACCCTTTTCTATAGGTATGAAAGGACAGTTCTGAACTATTTGTTTATTTTTCAGAAATGCTATTTTCAGTATGTTTCGCTTTATATCTAAATACCGTTATAGCCACCTTAGGTAAGTACAATTATAAAACAATACGATAAAACGGTTCATGGATGGGATAAGCTCTAACCGCGCTTATCATCTGTCAAGAACTATCTAGCCTAGAACAGATTCTATCCTTAATAGCTAGAACTGATTTTAATAGTTCTACCCTTGAATATATCCTGGCAGTTTTTTTTTATCGAGAATAGTTTTGGACAGATTTATCTATGTCTATAGTTTTTATTTATTATCTTATTCAAGTAATATATTTAGTTTGTTTTATTAGTCTCATTTTTTTTCTTTATCTGTCTATTTTTTTATAGCTTATTTCCATTTTTGTTTATTGATCATTTTTTTAATAAGCATTTATATGTACCCAAGAAAAAATTGTAATCAGAAATTAACTATAAACATGGTGAAATAACAGACTTGAAACATATATCTCAAACTGTAATTATTTTTACTATTTAATCCTCGGAAAACCAGCGAACTGCGCTTGCTCTAAATCACGCTCACAGGGCTGCTTTTTCTTATGTAATTTAGATTTATTGTTCAGGACGAGAAAAAATGAACAATAAATACAATATGTAGGTACTTAATAGAGGTCGTCCGTGATGCAGGTAAGAGAACTTCCGGAATGAAGGTTGGAAATGTTTGACTGTCACTTGAAAATCAGGGTATATTGGATAGAGACAGACATTTTGAATTGCAACAGGCCATCTACGGATCTCTCCAAGAGTTTTTGCATGGAATCTTAACGTGCACAGAGCGTGGCATCCTCTCTTAGCGAGGCATTGGATTTAGCATCCCTATTATGACCGGACGTGGCTGCGTATTTTTACATCCCGCACAGCAAAAAGAGAGGCAAATGATACCAAAGGAACATTCAATCTCATAAGTCGAAAGTAAACTGACAACGCCATGGCAAAAACAGATAGACCAAAAGAAAAACAACAGTACACAAAACACAACATAGAAAACTAAAGACTGAGCAACACTAACCCCAATGAAAACCGGGGATGATCTCAGGTGCTCCGGAAGGGTAGGCAGATCCTGCTCCACATGTGGCACCGTCGTGTTGCTCATGTACAGAGCAGGTGATAAGTCTAATTCAGTAGGTCACATTCGGGGAAAAGATGACGTGATTGAAGTTACGGCAACTGTGAAATAGATATTCCATAATAGTCAACTCACTCGTGGTGGCGTCCGTAAAATTTACTAAGGGGTGATTTCAACTTCAACACATGGAACTGTATGATAGCTTCCTTGTCATCAGCAACTCTCTATCAATGAAATCATAATAGGAAATGCAAGCCCGGGAATATTGTATCTACTGGGATAAATGTACTCCATATGCAGGCGCTGTTGGAATGTTGATACAGTACATATAAATGGAAAGTGCACAATAAGGAATCTGGAATTATCTCTTTTGTCGTAAAGTTTTCTTATTAACCGACCCTCATTGTAAATTTCTACATGTAAGTCAAGATATGACGCAGACGCAACTGTATCTGTTGTATCCTTTATCTCAAGTTTGATGGGATACATAGTCACCAAACTTTGAATCATTTAGTGAGAGGACATCATCTATATAGCGGAAATGACGTCTCACATTGGCAAGGCTTTTACTGCCGTTCGGACCACGGTGACCATATTTCTATTTCCCATTCAGCATTCGTATGGAATTAAGAACATTCTCACCATAGAACAGATTCTGACAGCACATATTTGGACATATTTACCCTTGAATTGATTCTAAAGGTCCTATCTTTGACTTGATTCTGACACAGTTCTACCATAGAACAGTTCTGCGAAGAGCTGGTGTACGGTTGAAATGCCATGTAACAGTTGAAAACAATTCTGTGTGACAGACTGTTCTTACATTCCTAAAGAACGTTAAAACTGATCCCAATGTTATGTATTATAGTAAAATATATTTTATGTTGAAGTTAACCCCGGTGAACATTTGTTAATTTCAAGCCTGCTTCATACTTTTTTTTTTCATCAAAGTTCTAAGTAGTATTTGTTTTCAAAATAATATTAGGCATGACATTGGTTATTGTTTCGGTTTAAAAAAAAACTGTACCCCTAATCACCATGTAGAATATGATTGGTTTTTTTTTTAGAATAACCAGAAGTCAACACTCAATGATTAACGTTCTACGACTCCTGCTACTGCAAGCACCTCATTAAATCACAAACATACGATTAAAGTTTAACGTTCGAAATATCCATCAACAAGTAAATGAAAAAAAAAAAAACACTTGATAAATTTCGTGCGTCTGAAACGCTTTGCTCGATTTACCTTCATGAGTAACCCGCAAACTCCTTCCGGGTTGAAAACCACGTCAGAAGTTACATGTATACATTATCAAAATACGTAGATAGAACAGACACTAGATAGTCAAATACGTCAAAGGTCAAATTTGCCTGAGTGTAATTATGATAAGTATGTACGAACTTCCAGTACACAAAAGCATATATTTAAGGATGTTTGCTCCTCTTGTTTTTGAATTTTTGCCAGATTTTCGGAATCCTCTTGTTTTATCCATGTATTGCCATTAAAAAAAATTGCCCACTAATCCCAATTTTTTTTTCATAATTTTATTAAACATAGTTTAAAAAGCCATATTTGAAAGTCTTATAAAATCCTTGTTATTTTTTCATAGTTTTTGAAACAAAAACGCGGCCAACGTTAAAAGAAAGAAAAATCTAGAGATAATCGTTTCCCGCCAAATTTTCAATGGCTTATAACTCGAAAACAAGCTCACGGACCCTTCATTTTTTTCTGCTTTTTTAGTTCCTTTATTTATATACTATCATTTTAGAATAGTCTTTTAAAAAGCTTGTTATTTTGAAACAGAGTAGCAAACATCCTTAAACAAATAATTATCAACTGAAACTCAAATAAATTGCTTTACTTTTAAACTGTAAAATGAAAATGAAGAAAGCTATGTTAGCAAATAAGTAAACATCCATATATACAAAGATTGAAATAACACAATGTCTTAATTTCATCAAAGTTGTACTCATCAAATTTCAATATTAATGTAAATGTAAGTATAGGTTTCCCTTTCAGTCAACACAAACGACAGTTTAAAGGAAACTGCAAGACATAGTTCGACGGTATTCAAATCAAACCCTACAATGGACAACATGTATAATGTAAACATAAATAATTTTGCGGAATCTAATCTTCAAAATGAAATCAACCATATGACTAAACAAAGACCACTGCAACAAACTGGACATTTTACTAGGGAAACCCGACCCCTATCTCAGCAAAACAAAGAGACTACAATACATTCACATGTAACGAGAACTCTACTTACTACAACACCTTCAAACAAACAATCAACAACACTGACGACCATTACTACAATTGTATCGCCTTCTACTCCTACAACCAAATCATCGACTGCATCCACCACCATAACTACAACTCTTCCAAGTACTACATCTACAACCAAACCAACGATACCACCTACAACCGAGAATACAACTATTTCTAGTACAACACCTATAACAAAACCAACGACACCACCTACGACCGATAGTACAACTAAACCTAGTACTACACCTACAGCAAAACCAACGTCACTACCTACGACCGATAGTACAACTATACCTAGTACTACATCTACAACCAAACCAACGACACCAATTACGACCGAGAGTACAACTATTCCTAGTACTACACCTACAACCAAACCAACGACATCACCTACGACCGATAGTACAACTATACCTAGTACTACATCTACAACCAAACCAACGACACCACCTACGACTGATAGCACAACTATATCTAGTACTACACCTATAACCAAACCAACGATACCACCTACGATCGATAGTACAACTATACCTAGTACTACACCTACAACCAAACCAACGACACCAATTACGACCGATAGTACAACTATATCTAGTACTACATCTACAACCAAAGCAAGGATACCACCTACGGCCAAGAGTACAACTATTTCTAGAACAATACCTACAACCATACCAACGACATCAACTACGACCGATAAAACAACTATTCCTAGAACAACTCCTACAACCAAACCAACAACACCACCTACGACTAATAGAATAACTATACCTAGTACTACACCTATAACAAAACCAACAACACCACCTACGACCGATAGTACAACTATACCTAGTACTACACCTACAACCAAACCAACGATACCACCTACGACCGATTGTACAACTATACCTAGTACTACATCTACAACCAAACCAACGACACCACCTACGACTGATAGAACAACTATACCTAGTACTTCATCTACAACCAAACCAAGGATACCACCTACGGCCGAGAGTACAAATATATCTAGAACAATACCTACAACCAAACCAACAACACCACCTACGACCGAGAGTGCAACTATTTCTAGTACAATAACTACAACCAAACCAACGACACCACCTACAACTGATAGTACAACTATACCTAGTACTACATCTACAACAAAACCAATGACACCACCTACGACCGATAGTACAACTATTCCTAGTACAACACCCACAACCAAACCAACAACACCACCTACGACCGATAGTTCAACTATTCCTCTAGCTAGTACAATACCTACAACCAAACCAACGACACAACCTACGACCGAGAGTACAACTATAACTAGCACTATACCTACAACCAAACCAACGGTATCAACTACGACCGATAAAACAACTATTCCTAGTACAACACCTACAACCAAACCAACGACACCACCTACGACCGATAGTACAACTTTTCCTAGTACAACACCTAAAACCAAGCCAACAACACCACCTACGACTGATAGAATAACAATACCTAGTACTACACCTATAACAAAACCAACGACACCACCTACGACCGATAGTACAACTAAACCTTGTACTACACCTACAACCAAACCAACGACACCACCTACGACCGATAGTACAACTATACATAGTACTACACCTACAACCGAACCAACGACACCACCTACAACCGATAGTACAACTATTCCTAGTACTACACCTACATCAAAATCAACGACACCACCTACGACCGATAGTACAACTATACCTAGTACTACATCAATAACCAAACCTACGATACCACCTACTACCGAGAGTACAACTATTTCTAGTACAATACCTACAACCAAGCCAACGACATCACCTACAACTGATAGTACAACTATTCATAGTACTACACCTACATCAAAATCAACGACACCACCTACGACCGATAGTACAACTATACCTAGTACTACATCAATAACCAAACCTACGATACCACCTACTACCGAGAGTACAACTATTTCTAGTACAATACCTACAACCAAACCAACGACATCACCTAATTTCGATAGTACAACTATTTCTCTAGCTAGTACAACACCTACAACCAAACCAACGACACAACCTACGACCGATAGTACAACTATACCTAGTACTACACCTATAACAAAACAAACGACACCACCTACGACTGATAGTACAACTATACATAGTACTACACCTACAACCAAACCAACGACACTACCTAAGACCAATAGTACAACTATTCCAAGTACAACACCTACAACCAAACCAACGACACCACCTACGACCGACAGTACAACTATTCCTAGCACTACACCTGCAACCAAACCAACGACATCACCTACGACCGATAGTACAACTATTTCTAGTACAACACCTACAACCAAACCAACAACACCACCTACGACTGATAGAACAACTATACACAGTACTACACCTATAACAAAACCAACGACACCACCTACGACCGATAGTACAACTATTACTAGTACAACCCCTACAACCAAACCAACGACACCACCTCAGACCGATAGTACAACTATTCCAAGTACAACACCTACAACCAAACCAATGACACCACATACGAGCGACAGTACAACTATTCCTAGCACTACACCTACAACCAAACCAATAACACCACCTACGACCGAGAGTACAACTATTCTTAGTACAACACCTACAACAAAACCAACAACACCACCTACGTCTGATAGCACAACTATATCTAGTACTACACCTACAACCAAACCAACGATACCACCTACGATCGATAGTACAACTATACCTAGTACTACACCTACAACCAAACCAACGACACCAATTACAACCGATAGTACAACTATATCTAGTACTACATCTACAACCAAACCAAGGATACCACCTACGGCCAAGAGTACAACTATTTCTAGAACAATACCTACAACCATACCAACGACATCAACTACGATCGATAAAACAACTATTCCTAGTACAACACCTACAACCAAACCAACGACATCAACTACGACCGATAAAACAACTATTCCTAGAACAACTCCTACAACCAAACCAGCAACACCACCTACGACTAATAGAATAACTATACCTAGTACTACACCTATAACAAAACCAACAACACCACCTACGACCGATAGTACAACTATACCTAGTACTACACCTACAACCAAACCAACGATACCACCTACGACCGATTGTACAACTATACCTAGTACTACATCTACAACCAAACCAACGACACCACCTACGACTGATAGAACAACTATACCTAGTACTACATCTACAACCAAACCAAGGATACCACCTACGGCCGAGAGTACAAATATATCTAGAACAATACCTACAACCAAACCAACGACACCACCTACGACCGAGAGTGCAACTATTTCTAGTACAATAACTACAACCAAACCAACGACACCACCTACAACTGATAGTACAACTATACCTAGTACTACATCTACAACAAAACCAATGACACCACCTACGACCGATAGTACAACTATTCCTAGTACAACACCCACAACCAAACCAACAACACCACCTACGACCGATAGTTCAACTATTCCTCTAGCTAGTACAATACCTACAACCAAACCAACGACACCACCTACGACCGAGAGTACAACTATTCCTAGCACTATACCTACAACCAAACCAACGGTATCAACTACGACCGATAAAACAACTATTCCTAGTACAACACCTACAACCAAACCAACGACACCACCTACGACCGATAGTACAACTATTCCTAGTACAACACCTACAACCAAACCAACGACACCACCTACGACTGATAGTACAACTAATCATAATACTACACCTACAACCAAACCAACGACACCACCTACGACCGATAGTACAACTATACCTAGTACTACATCTACAACCAAACCAACGACACCACCTACAACTGATAGTACAACTAATCATTATACTACACCTACAACCAAACCAACGACACCACCTACGACCGATAGTACAACTATTTCTAGTAAAACACCTACAACCAAACCAACAACACCACCAACGACTGATAGAACAACTATACCTAGTACTACACCTATAAAAAAACCAACGACACCACCTACGACCGATAGTACAACTATCCCTAGTACTACACCTACAACCAAACCACAGATACCAGCTACGACCGAGAGTACAACTATTCCTAGTACTACATCTACAACCAAACCAACGACACCAACTACAACTGATAGTACAACTAATCATAATACTACACCTACAACCAAACCAACGACACCACCTACGAACGATAATACAACTATACCTAGTACTACGTCTACAACCAAACCAACAACACCACCTACGACCGATAGTACAATTATACCTAGTACTACATCTACAACCAAACCAACGACACCATCTACGACTGATAGTACAACTATACCTAGTACTACATCTACAACCAAACCAACGACACCACCTACAACTGATAGTACAACTAATCATAATACTACACCTACAACCAAACCAACGACACCACCTACGAACGATAATACAACTATACCTAGTACTACGTCTACAACCAAACCAACAACACCACCTACGACCGATAGTACAATTATACCTAGTACTACATCTACAACCAAACCAACAACACCACTTACGACCGAGAGTACAACTATAGCTAGTACTACATCTACAACCAAACCAACAACACCACCTACGACCGATAGTACAATTATACCTAGTACTACATCTACAACCAAACCAACAACACCACTTACGACCGATAGTACAACTATACCTAGCACTACACCTACAACCAAACAAACGATACCACCTACGACCGATAGTACAACTATACCTAGTACTACACCTATAACAAAACCAACGACACCATCTTTGACAGATAGTACAATTACATCTAGTACTACATCTACAATCAAACCAAGGATACCACATAAGGCCGAGAGTACAACTATTTCTAGAACAATACCTACAACCATACCAACGACATCAACTTCGACTGATAGAATAACTATACCTAGTATTACACCAATAACAAAACCATCGACACCACCTACGACCGATAGTACAACTATACCTAGTACTACATCTACAACCAACCCAACGACACCACCTACGACTGATAGAACAACTATACCTAGTACTACATCTACAACCAAACCAAGGATACCACCTACGGCCGAGAGTACAAATATTTCTAGAACAATACCTACAACCATACCAACTACACCACCTACAACTGATAGTACAACTATTCATAATACTACACCTACAACCAAACCAACGACACCACCTACAACTGATAGAACAACTAATCATAATACTACACCTACAATCAAACCAACGACACCACCTACGACCGATAGTACAACTATACCTAGTACTACATCTACAACCAAACCAACAACGATTCCTACGACCGATAGTACAACTATACCTATTACTAAATCTACAACCAAACCAACAACACCACCTACGACCGATAGTACAACTATACCTAGTACTACATCTACAACCAAACCAACAACACCACCTACGACCGATAGTACAACTATTCCTAGTACTACATCTATAACAAAACCAACGACACCACCGTCGACCGATAGTACAACTATTCATAGTACTACACCTACAACCAAACCAACGACACCAGCTACGACAGAGAGTACAACTTTTTCTAGTACAATATCTACAAACAAACCAACGACATCACCTACAACTGATAGTACAACTGTTCCTAGTACTACACCTACAACCAAACCAAAAACACCACCTATGACCGATAGTACAACTATTCCTAGTACTACAACTACAACCAAACCAAAGACACCACCTACGACCGATAGTACAACTATACCTAGTACTACACCTACAACCAAACCAACCACACCACCTACGACCGATAGTACAACTATTCATAGTACTACACCTACAACCAAACCAACAACACCACCTACGACCGATAGAACAACTATACCTAGTACTACACCTACAACCAAACCAACAAAGGATAGTACTACTATTTCTAGTACTTCACCTACAACCATACCAACCACATCAACTTCGACCGATAAAACAACTAATCCTAGTACAACACCTACAACCAAACCAACGACACCACCTACGACCGATAGAACAACTATTCCTAGTACAACACCTACAACCAAACCAACAACACCACTTACGACTGAAAGAATAACTATGCCTAGTATTACACCTATAACAAAACCATCGACACCACCTACGACCGATAGTACAACTATACCTAGTCCTACATCTACAACCAACCCAACGACACCACCTACGACTGATAGAACAACTATACCTAGTACTACATCTACAACCAAACCAAGGATACCACCTACGGCCGAGAGTACAACTATTTCTAGAACAATACCTACAATCATACCAACTACACCACCTACAACTGATAGTACAACTATTCATAATACTACACCTACAACCAAACCAACGACACCACCTACGACCGATAGTACAACTATACCTAGTACTACATCTACAACCAAACCAAGGATACCACCTACGGCCGAGAGTACAACTATTTCTAGAACAATACCTACAACCATACCAACAACACCACCTACAACTGATAGTACAACTATTCATAATACTACACCTTCAACCAAACCAACGACACCACATACGACCGATAGTACAACTATACCTAGTACTACATCTACAACCAAACCAACGACACCAATTACGACGGAGAGTACAACTATTCCTAGTACTACACCTACAACCAAACCAACGACACCACCTTTGACCGATAGTATAACTATTCCTAGTACTACACCTACAACCAAACCAGCGACACCACCTACGACCGATAGTACAACTAAACATAGTACTACATCTACAACCAAACCAAGGATACCACCTACGGCCGAGAGTACAACTATTTCTAGAACAATACCTACAACCATACCAACAACACCACCTACAACTGATAGTACAACTATTCATAATACTACACCTACAACCAAACTAACGACACCACCTACGACCGATAGTACAACTATACCTAGTACTACACCTATAACAAAACCATCGACACCACCTACGACCGATAGTACAACTATACCTAGCACTACATCTACAACCAACCCAACGACACCACCTACGACTGATAGAACAACTATACCTAGTACTACACCTACAACCAACCCAACGACACCACCTACGACTGATAGAACACCTATACCTAGTACTACATCTACAACCAAACCAAGGATACCACCTACGGCCGAGAGTACAACAATTTCTAGAACAATACCTACAACCATACCAACAACACCACCCACAACTGATAGTACAACTATTCCTAGTACTTTACCTACAACCAAACCAACGACACCACCTACGACCGATAGTAGAACTATACCTAGCACAATACCTACAACCAAACCAACGACACCACCTACGACCAATAGTACAACTAATCATAATACTACACCTACAACCAAACCAACGACACCACCTACGACCGATAGTACAACTATACCTAGTACTACATTTACAACCAAACCAACGACACCACCTACAACTGATAGTACAACTAATCATTATACTACACCTACAACCAAACCAACGACACCACCTACGACCGATAGTACAACTATTTCTAGTAAAACACCTACAACCAAACCAACAACACCACCAACGACTGATAGAACAACTATACCTAGTACTACACCTATAAAAAAACCAACGACACCACCTACGACCGATAGTACAACTATCCCTAGTACTACACCTACAACCAAACCACGGATACCAGCTACGACCGAGAGTACAACTATTCCTAGTACTACATCTACAACCAAACCAACGACACCATCTACGACTGATAGTACAACTATACCTAGTACTACATCTACAACCAAACCAACGACACCACCTACAACTGATAGTACAACTAATCATAATACTACACCTACAACCAAACCAACGACACCACCTACGAACGATAATACAACTATACCTAGTACTACGTCTACAACCAAACCAACAACACCACCTACGACCGATAGTACAATTATACCTAGTACTACATCTACAACCAAACCAACGACACCATCTACGACTGATAGTACAACTATACCTAGTACTACATCTACAACCAAACCAACGACACCACCTACAACTGATAGTACAACTAATCATAATACTACACCTACAACCAAACCAACGACACCACCTACGAACGATAATACAACTATACCTAGTACTACGTCTACAACCAAACCAACAACACCACCTACGACCGATAGTACAATTATACCTAGTACTACATCTACAACCAAACCAACAACACCACTTACGACCGAGAGTACAACTATAGCTAGTACTACATCTACAACCAAACCAACAACACCACCTACGACCGATAGTACAATTATACCTAGTACTACATCTACAACCAAACCAACAACACCACTTACGACCGATAGTACAACTATACCTAGCACTACACCTACAACCAAACAAACGATACCACCTACGACCGATAGTACAACTATACCTAGTACTACACCTATAACAAAACCAACGACACCAACTTTGACAGATAGTACAATTACATCTAGTACTACATCTACAATCAAACCAAGGATACCACCTACGGCCGAGAGTACAACTATTTCTAGAACAATACCTACAACCATACCAACGACATCAACTTCGACCGATAAAACAACTATTCCTAGTACAACACCTACAACCAAACCAACGACACCACCTACGACCGATAGAACAACTATTCCTAGTACAACACCTACAACCAAACCAACAACACCACCTACGACTGATAGAATAACTATACCTAGTATTACACCTATAACAAAACCATCGACACCACCTACGATCGATACTACAACTATACCTAGTACTACATCTACAACCAAACCAAGGATACCACCTACGGCCGAGAGTACAAATATTTCTAGAACAATACCTACAACCATACCAACTACACCACCTACAACTGATAGTACAACTATTCATAATACTACACCTACAACCAAACCAACGACACCACCTACAACTGATAGAACAACTAATCATAATACTACACCTACAATCAAACCAACGACACCACCTACGACCGATAGTACAACTATACCTAGTACTACATCTACAACCAAACCAACAACGATTCCTACGACCGATAGTACAACTATACCTATTACTAAATCTACAACCAAACCAACAACACCACCTACGACCGATAGTACAACTATACCTAGTACTACATCTACAACCAAACCAACAACACCACCTACGACCGATAGTACAACTATTCCTAGTACTACATCTATAACAAAACCAACGACACCACCGTCGACCGATAGTACAACTATTCATAGTACTACACCTACAACCAAACCAACGACACCAGCTACGACAGAGAGTACAACTTTTTCTAGTACAATATCTACAAACAAACCAACGACATCACCTACAACTGATAGTACAACTGTTCCTAGTACTACACCTACAACCAAACCAAAAACACCACCTATGACCGATAGTACAACTATTCCTAGTACTACAACTACAACCAAACCAAAGACACCACCTACGACCGATAGTACAACTATACCTAGTACTACACCTACAACCAAACCAACCACACCACCTACGACCGATAGTACAACTATTCATAGTACTACACCTACAACCAAACCAACAACACCACCTACGACCGATAGAACAACTATACCTAGTACTACACCTACAACCAAACCAACAAAGGATAGTACTACTATTTCTAGTACTTCACCTACAACCATACCAACCACATCAACTTCGACCGATAAAACAACTAATCCTAGTACAACACCTACAACCAAACCAACGACACCACCTACGACCGATAGAACAACTATTCCTAGTACAACACCTACAACCAAACCAACAACACCACTTACGACTGAAAGAATAACTATGCCTAGTATTACACCTATAACAAAACCATCGACACCACCTACGACCGATAGTACAACTATACCTAGTCCTACATCTACAACCAACCCAACGACACCACCTACGACTGATAGAACAGTTATACCTAGTACTACATCTACAACCAAACCAAGGATACCACCTACGGCCGAGAGTACAACTATTTCTAGAACAATACCTACAATCATACCAACTACACCACCTACAACTGATAGTACAACTATTCATAATACTACACCTACAACCAAACCAACGACACCACCTACGACCGATAGTACAACTATACCTAGTACTACATCTACAACCAAACCAAGGATACCACCTACGGCCGAGAGTACAACTATTTCTAGAACAATACCTACAACCATACCAACAACACCACCTACAACTGATAGTACAACTATTCATAATACTACACCTACAACCAAACCAACGACACCACATACGACCGATAGTACAACTATACCTAGTACTACATCTACAACCAAACCAACGACACCAATTACGACGGAGAGTACAACTATTCCTAGTACTACACCTACAACCAAACCAACGACACCACCTTTGACCGATAGTATAACTATTCCTAGTACTACACCTACAACCAAACCAGCGAAACCACCTACGACCGATAGTACAACTAAACATAGTACTTCATCTACAACCAAACCAAGGATACCACCTACGGCCGAGAGTACAACTATTTCTAGAACAATACCTACAACCATACCAACAACACCACCTACAACTGATAGTACAACTATTCATAATACTACACCTACAACCAAACTAACGACACCACCTACGACCGATAGTACAACTATACCTAGTACTACACCTATAACAAAACCATCGACACCACCTACGACCGATAGTACAACTATACCTAGCACTACATCTACAACCAACCCAACGACACCACCTACGACTGATAGAACAACTATACCTAGTACTACACCTACAACCAACCCAACGACACCACCTACGACTGATAGAACACCTATACCTAGTACTACATCTACAACCAAACCAAGGATACCACCTACGGCCGAGAGTACAACTATTTCTAGAACAATACCTACAACCATACCAACAACACCACCCACAACTGATAGTACAACTATTCCTAGTACTTTACCTACAACCAAACCAACGACACCACCTACGACCGATAGTAGAACTATACCTAGCACAATACCTACAACCAAACCAACGACACCACCTACGACCGATAGTACAACTAATCATAATACTACACCTACAACCAAACCAACGACACCACCTACGACCGATAGTACAACTATACCTAGTACTACATCTACAACCAAACCAACGACACCACCTACAACTGATAGTACAACTAATCATTATACTACACCTACAACCAAACCAACGACACCACCTACGACCGATAGTACAACTATTTCTAGTAAAACACCTACAACCAAACCAACAACACCACCAACGACTGATAGAACAACTATACCTAGTACTACACCTATAAAAAAACCAACGACACCACCTACGACCGATAGTACAACTATCCCTAGTACTACACCTACAACCAAACCACGGATACCAGCTACGACCGAGAGTACAACTATTCCTAGTACTACATCTACAACCAAACCAACGACACCATCTACGACTGATAGTACAACTATACCTAGTACTACATCTACAACCAAACCAACGACACCACCTACAACTGATAGTACAACTAATCATAATACTACACCTACAACCAAACCAACGACACCACCTACGAACGATAATACAACTATACCTAGTACTACGTCTACAACCAAACCAACAACACCACCTACGACCGATAGTACAATTATACCTAGTACTACATCTACAACCAAACCAACGACACCATCTTCGACTGATAGTACAACTATACCTAGTACTACATCTACAACCAAACCAACGACACCACCTACAACTGATAGTACAACTAATCATAATACTACACCTACAACCAAACCAACGACACCACCTACGAACGATAATACAACTATACCTAGTACTACGTCTACAACCAAACCAACAACACCACCTACGACCGATAGTACAATTATACCTAGTACTACATCTACAACCAAACCAACAACACCACTTACGACCGAGAGTACAACTATAGCTAGTACTACATCTACAACCAAACCAACAACACCACCTACGACCGATAGTACAATTATACCTAGTACTACATCTACAACCAAACCAACAACACCACTTACGACCGATAGTACAACTATACCTAGCACTACACCTACAACCAAACAAACGATACCACCTACGACCGATAGTACAACTATACCTAGTACTACACCTATAACAAAACCAACGACACCAACTTTGACAGATAGTACAATTACATCTAGTACTACATCTACAATCAAACCAAGGATACCACCTACGGCCGAGAGTACAACTATTTCTAGAACAATACCTACAACCATACCAACGACATCAACTTCGACCGATAAAACAACTATTCCTAGTACAACACCTACAACCAAACCAACGACACCACCTACGACCGATAGAACAACTATTCCTAGTACAACACCTACAACCAAACCAACAACACCACCTACGACTGATAGAATAACTATACCTAGTATTACACCTATAACAAAACCATCGACACCACCTACGACCGATAGTACAAGTATTCCTAGTATAACACATACAACGAAGCCAACGACACCACCTACGACTGATAGAACAACTATACCTAGTACTACATCTACAACCAAACCAAGGATAAAACCTACGGCCAAGAGTACAACTATTTCTAGAACAATACCTACAACCATACCAACAACACCACCTACAACTGATAGTACAACTATTAATAATACTACACCTACAACCAAACCAACGACACCATCTACGACCGATAGTACAACTATACCTAGTACTACATCTACAACCAAACCAACGACACCAATTACGACCGAGAGTACAACTATACCTAGTACTACACATACAACCAAACCAACGACTTTACTTATGACCGATAGTACAACTATTTCTAGTATTACACCTACAACCAAACAAACCACACCACCTATGACCGATAGTACAACTATTCCTAGTACTACATCTACAACCAAACCAATAACACCACCTACGACCGATAGTAAAACTATACCTAGTACTACATCTACAACCAAACCAACGATACCAGCTACGACCGATAGTACAACTATACCTAGCACTACACCTACAACCAAACCACGGATACCAGCTACGACCGAGAGTACAACTGTACCTAGTACTACACCTACAACCAAACCTACGACACCACCTACGACAGATAGTACAACTATTCCTAGTACAATACCTATAACAAAACCAACAACCGATAGTACAACTATTTATAGTACTACACCTACAACCAAACCAACAACACCACCTACGACCGATAGTACAACTATTCATAGTACTACACCTACAACCAAACCAACAAACGATAGTACAACTATTTCTAGTACTACACATACAACCAAACAAACAACACCACCTACGACCGATAGTACAACTATACCTAGTACTACACCTACAACCAAACCAACCACACCACCTATGGCCGATAGTAAAACTATACCTAGTACTACACATACAACCAAACCAACAACACCACCTACGACCGATAGTACAACTATACCTAGTACTACACCTACAACCAAACCAACCACACCACCTATGACCGATAGTAAAACTATTCCTAGTACTACACATAAAATCAAATCAACGACACCACCTACGACCGATAGTAAAACTATTCCTAGTACTACACATACAATCAAATCAACAACACCACCTATGACCGATAGTACAACTATACCTAGTACTACACCTACAACCAAACCTACGACCCCACCTACGACCAGTAGTAAAACTATTCTTAGTACTTCACATACAATCAAATCAACGATATTACCTACGACCGATAGTAAAACTATTCCTAGTTATATACCTACAACGAAGCCAACGAAACCAATGACGACTGAGAGTACAACTATTTCTAATACTATACCTACAACCAAGCTAACGACACCATCTACGACCGATAGTACAACTATTTCTAGTACTATATCTACAACGAAGCCAACGACACCAATTACGACCGAGAGTACAACTATACCTAGTACTACACCTAAAACCAAACCTACGACCCCACCTACGACCAGTAGTAAAACTATTCCTAGTACTACACATACAACCAAACCAACAACACCACCTACGACCGATAGTACAACTATACCTAGTACTACACCTACAACCAAACCAACCACACCACCTATGACCGATAGTAAAACTATTCCTAGTACTACACATAAAATCAAATCAACGACACCACCTACGACCAATAGTAAAGCTATTCCTAGTACTACACCTACAACCAAACCAACCACACCACCTATGGCCGATAGTAAAACTATACCTAGTACTACACATACAACCAAACCAACAACACCACCTACGACCGATAGTACAACTATACCTAGTACTACACCTACAACCAAACCAACCACACCACCTATGACCGATAGTAAAACTATTCCTAGTACTACACATAAAATCAAATCAACGACACCACCTACGACCGATAGTAAAACTATTCCTAGTACTACACATACAATCAAATCAACAACACCACCTATGACCGATAGTACAACTATACCTAGTACTACACCTACAACCAAACCTACGACCCCACCTACGACCAGTAGTAAAACTATTCCTAGTACTTCACATACAATCAAATCAACGATATTACCTACGACCGATAGTAAAACTATTCCTAGTTATATACCTACAACGAAGCCAACGAAACCAATGACGACTGAGAGTACAACTATTTCTAATACTATACCTACAACCAAGCTAACGACACCATCTACGACCGATAGTACAACTATTTCTAGTACTATATCTACAACGAAGCCAACGACACCAATTACGACCGAGAGTACAACTATACCTAGTACTACACCTAAAACCAAACCTACGACCCCACCTACGACCAGTAGTAAAACTATTCCTAGTACTACACATACAATCAAATCAACGATACCACCTACGACCAATAGTAAAACTATTCCTAGTACTACACATGCAATCAAATCAACGATACCACCTACGACCGATAGTACAACTATTCCTAGTTATATACCTACATCGAAGCCAACGAAACCAATGGCGACTGAGAGTACAACTATTTCTAGTACTATACCTACAACCAAGCTAACGACACCACCTACGACCGAGAGTACAACTATACCTAGTACTACACCTACAACCAAATCAACGACACCACCTACGACCGATAGTACAACTATTTCTAGTACTATACCTACAACCAAACCAACGCCACCACCTACGACCGAGAGTACAACTATACCTAGTACTACACCTACAACCAAATCAACGACACCACATACGACCGATAGTACAACTATACCTAGTTTTACACCTACAACCAAACCAACGACACTACCTACGACCGATAGTACAACTATTCCTGGTATTACACCTTCAACCAAACCATCGAAACCACCTACGACCGATAGTACAAGTATTCCTAGTATAACACCTACAACGAAGCCAACGACACCACCTACGACTGATAGAACAACTATACCTAGTACTACATCTACAACCAAACCAAGGATACCACCTACGGCCGAGAGTACAACTATTTCTAGAACAATACCTACAACCACACCAACAACACCACCTACAACTGATAGTACAACTATTAATTATACTACACCTACAACCAAACCAACGACACCACCTACGACCGATAGTACAACTATACCTAGTACTACATCTACAACCAAACCAACGACACCAATTACGACCGAGAGTACAACTGTACCTAGTACTACACCTACAACCAAACCTACGACACCACCTACGACAGATAGTACAACTATTTCTAGTTATATACCTACATCGAAACCAACGAAACCAATGGCGACTGAGAGTACAACTATTTCTAGTACTATACCTACAACCAAGCTAACGACACCATCTACGACCGATAGTACAACTATTTCTAGTACTATACCTACAACGAAGCCAACAACACCACCTACGACCGATAGTACAACTATACCTAGTACTACACCTACAACCAAATCAACGACACCACCTACGACCGATAGTACAACTATACCTAGTATTACACCTACAACCAAACCAACGACACTACCTACGACCGAGAGTACAACTATTCCTGGTATTACACCTTCAACCAAACCAACGAAACCACCTACGACCGATAGTACAAGTATTCCTAGTATAACACCTACAACGAAGCCAACGACACCACCTACGACTGATAGAACAACTATACCTAGTACTACATCTACAACCAAACCAAGGATACCACCTACGGCCGAGAGTACAACTATTTCTAGAATAATACCTACAACCACACCAACAACACCACCTACAACTGATAGTACAACTATTAATAATACTACACCTACAACCAAACCAACGACACCACCTACGACCGATAGTACAACTATACCTAGTACTGCATCTACAACCAAACCAACGACACCAATTACGACCGAGAGTACAACTATACCTAGTACTACACCTACAACCAAATCGACACCACCTACGACCGATAGTACATCTATACCTAGTATTACACCTACAACCAAACCAACGACTTTACCTATGACCGATAGTACAACTATTTCTAGTATTACACCTACAACCAAACAAACCACACCACCTATGACCGATAGTACAACTATTCCTAGTACTACATCTACAACCAAACCAATAACACCACCTACGACCGATAGTAAAACTATACCTAGTACTACATCTACAACCAAACCAACGATACCAGCTACGACTGATAGTACAACTATACCTAGTACTACATCTACAACCAAACCAACAACACCACCTTCGACCGATAGTACAACTATTCCTGGTATTACACATGCAATCCAATCAACGATACCACCTATGACAGATAGTACAACTATTCCTAGTTATATACCTACAACGAAGCCAACAAAACCAATGACGACTGAGAGTACAACTATTTCTAGTATTACACCTACAACCAAACCAACATCACCACCTACGACCGATAGTAAAACTATACCTAGTACTACATCTACAACCAAACCAAAGATACCACCTATGATCGATAGTACAACTATACCTAGTACTACATCTACAACCAAACCAACAACACCACCTTCGACCGATAGTACAACTATTCCTGGAATTACACCTACAACCAAACCAACAACTCCATCTACATCTACAACCAAACCAACAACGATTCCTACGACCGATAGTACAACTATACCTATAACTAAATCTACAACCAAACCAACAACACCACCTACGACCGATAGTACAATTATACCTAGTACTACATCTACAACCAAACCAACAACACCACCTACGACCGATAGTACAACTATTCCTAGTACTACATCTATAACAAAACCAACGACACCACCGTCGACCGATAGTACAACTATTCATAGTACTACACCTACAACCAAACCAACGACACCAGCTAAGACAGAGAGTACAACTTTTTCTAGTACAATATCTACAAACAAACCAACGACATCATCTACAACTGATAGTACAACTGTTCCTAGTACTACACCTACAACCAAACCAAAAACACCACCTATGACCGATAGTACAACTATTCCTAGTACTACAACTACAACCAAACCAAAGACACCACCTACGACCGATAGTACAACTATACCTAGTACTACACCTACAACCAAACCAACCACACCACCTACGACCGATAGTACAACTATTCATAGTACTACACCTACAACCAAACCAACAACACCACCTACGACCGATAGAACAACTATACCTAGTACTACACCTACAACCAAACCAACAAAGGATAGTACTACTATTTCTAGTACTTCACCTACAACCAAACCAACAACACCATCTACGACCGATAGTGTAACTATTCCTAGTACTACTCATACAACCAAACCAACAACACCACCTACGACCGATAGTACAACTATACCTAGTACTACACCTACAACCAAACCAACCACACCACCTACGACTGATAGTACAACTATTCCTAGTACAACACCTACAACCAAACCAACCACACCACCTATGACCGATAGTAAAACTATACCTAGTACTACACATACAACCAAACTAACAACACCACCTACGACTGATAGTACAACTATACCTAGTACTACACCTACAACCAAACCAACCACACCACCTATGACCGATAGTAAAACTATTTCTAGTACTACACATAAAATCAAATCAACGACACCACCTACGACCGATAGTAAAACTATTCCTAGTACTACACATACAATCAAATCAACAACACCACCTATGACCGATAGTACAAGTATTCCTAGTATAACACATACAACGAAGCCAACGACACCACCTACGACTGATAGAACAACTATACCTAGTACTACATCTACAACCAAACCAAGGATAAAACCTACGGCCAAGAGTACAACTATTTCTAGAACAATACCTACAACCATACCAACAACACCACCTACAACTGATAGTACAACTATTAATAATACTACACCTACAACCAAACCAACGACACCATCTACGACCGATAGTACAACTATACCTAGTACTACATCTACAACCAAACCAACGACACCAATTACGACCGAGAGTACAACTATACCTAGTACTACACATACAACCAAACCAACGACTTTACTTATGACCGATAGTACAACTATTTCTAGTATTACACCTACAACCAAACAAACCACACCACCTATGACCGATAGTACAACTATTCCTAGTACTACATCTACAACCAAACCAATAACACCACCTACGACCGATAGTAAAACTATACCTAGTACTACATCTACAACCAAACCAACGATACCAGCTACGACCGATAGTACAACTATACCTAGCACTACACCTACAACCAAACCACGGATACCAGCTACGACCGAGAGTACAACTGTACCTAGTACTACACCTACAACCAAACCTACGACACCACCTACGACAGATAGTACAACTATTCCTAGTACAATACCTATAACAAAACCAACAACCGATAGTACAACTATTTATAGTACTACACCTACAACCAAACCAACAACACCACCTACGACCGATAGTACAACTATTCATAGTACTACACCTACAACCAAACCAACAAACGATAGTACAACTATTTCTAGTACTACACATACAACCAAACAAACAACACCACCTACGACCGATAGTACAACTATACCTAGTACTACACCTACAACCAAACCAACCACACCACCTATGGCCGATAGTAAAACTATACCTAGTACTACACATACAACCAAACCAACAACACCACCTACGACCGATAGTACAACTATACCTAGTACTACACCTACAACCAAACCAACCACACCACCTATGACCGATAGTAAAACTATTCCTAGTACTACACATAAAATCAAATCAACGACACCACCTACGACCGATAGTAAAACTATTCCTAGTACTACACATGCAATCAAATCAACGATACCACCTACGACCGATAGTACAACTATTCCTAGTTATATACCTACATCGAAGCCAACGAAACCAATGGCGACTGAGAGTACAACTATTTCTAGTACTATACCTACAACCAAGCTAACGACACCACCTACGACCGAGAGTACAACTATACCTAGTACTACACCTACAACCAAATCAACGACACCACCTACGACCGATAGTACAACTATTTCTAGTACTATACCTACAACCAAACCAACGCCACCACCTACGACCGAGAGTACAACTATACCTAGTACTACACCTACAACCAAATCAACGACACCACATACGACCGATAGTACAACTATACCTAGTTTTACACCTACAACCAAACCAACGACACTACCTACGACCGATAGTACAACTATTCCTGGTATTACACCTTCAACCAAACCATCGAAACCACCTACGACCGATAGTACAAGTATTCCTAGTATAACACCTACAACGAAGCCAACGACACCACCTACGACTGATAGAACAACTATACCTAGTACTACATCTACAACCAAACCAAGGATACCACCTACGGCCGAGAGTACAACTATTTCTAGAACAATACCTACAACCACACCAACAACACCACCTACAACTGATAGTACAACTATTAATTATACTACACCTACAACCAAACCAACGACACCACCTACGACCGATAGTACAACTATACCTAGTACTACATCTACAACCAAACCAACGACACCAATTACGACCGAGAGTACAACTGTACCTAGTACTACACCTACAACCAAACCTACGACACCACCTACGACAGATAGTACAACTATTTCTAGTTATATACCTACATCGAAACCAACGAAACCAATGGCGACTGAGAGTACAACTATTTCTAGTACTATACCTACAACCAAGCTAACGACACCATCTACGACCGATAGTACAACTATTTCTAGTACTAAACCTACAACGAAGCCAACAACACCACCTACGACCGATAGTACAACTATACCTAGTACTACACCTACAACCAAATCAACGACACCACCTACGACCGATAGTACAACTATACCTAGTATTACACCTACAACCAAACCAACGACACTACCTACGACCGAGAGTACAACTATTCCTGGTATTACACCTTCAACCAAACCAACGAAACCACCTACGACCGATAGTACAAGTATTCCTAGTATAACACCTACAACGAAGCCAACGACACCACCTACGACTGATAGAACAACTATACCTAGTACTACATCTACAACCAAACCAAGGATACCACCTACGGCCGAGAGTACAACTATTTCTAGAATAATACCTACAACCACACCAACAACACCACCTACAACTGATAGTACAACTATTAATAATACTACACCTACAACCAAACCAACGACACCACCTACGACCGATAGTACAACTATACCTAGTACTGCATCTACAACCAAACCAACGACACCAATTACGACCGAGAGTACAACTATACCTAGTACTACACCTACAACCAAATCAACGACACCACCTACGACCGATAGTACATCTATACCTAGTATTACACCTACAACCAAACCAACGACTTTACCTATGACCGATAGTACAACTATTTCTAGTATTACACCTACAACCAAACAAACCACACCACCTATGACCGATAGTACAACTATTCCTAGTACTACATCTACAACCAAACCAATAACACCACCTACGACCGATAGTAAAACTATACCTAGTACTACATCTACAACCAAACCAACGATACCAGCTACGACTGATAGTACAACTATACCTAGTACTACATCTACAACCAAACCAACAACACCACCTTCGACCGATAGTACAACTATTCCTGGTATTACACATGCAATCCAATCAACGATACCACCTATGACAGATAGTACAACTATTCCTAGTTATATACCTACAACGAAGCCAACAAAACCAATGACGACTGAGAGTACAACTATTTCTAGTATTACACCTACAACCAAACCAACATCACCACCTACGACCGATAGTAAAACTATACCTAGTACTACATCTACAACCAAACCAAAGATACCACCTATGATCGATAGTACAACTATACCTAGTACTACATCTACAACCAAACCAACAACACCACCTTCGACCGATAGTACAACTATTCCTGGAATTACACCTACAACCAAACCAACAACTCCACCTACGACCGATAGAACAACTATACCTAGTACTACATCTACAACCAAACCAACGACACCACCTACGACCGATAGTACAACTATTCCTAGTACAACACCTACAACCAAACCAACGACACCACCTACGACCGATAGAACAACTATACCTAGTATTACACGTACAACCAAACCGACCACACCACCTACGACCGATAGTACAACTATACCTAGTACTACATCTACAACCAAACCAACAACACCACCTACGACCGATAGTACAACTATTCCTAGTACTTTACCTACAACCAAACCAACGACACCAATTACAACCGATAGTACAACTATACCTAGTACTACATCTACAACCAAACCAAAAACACCACCTACGACCGATAGTACAACTATACCTAGTACGATACCTACAACCAAACTAACGACACCACCTACAGTACCAGCAACTACTATAGATAGAGTAACGAGTGTAACAATAAAAAAAGGTTTGCAACGTTTGAAATTAAATGTATGTTTATTTGAAAATTCAAAGAAATAAAAAGTAAAGAAAAAACGTCTGTATTTACAAAATAAAATCTTTTGCTTTTTGCAACGTACTAGTAATACATCAGATGTATGTCTTATACTTGTTTATTCCTTTAAACAAGATAAGCAACATAAGTGTGTATTTTTCATCGCAAGTCAGCAAAGCTATACTGGACAAATGAAGAATACAATTTTTATGATAATGGCATTGTTTATACAGCTAACATAACACACTTTATATGTAGTAAAACGAACATTAACTAGTTTTGTGCCATATTTTGAGAGTATTTTTTTCGTCAAAAGTATAACCAAATGTGACAAAGGTTTCCGAAAAAAGACAAATACATAAGAAATTAAAAAGTTGAATAAAAAGAAGGAACTGCATTGCCTAAAATTAATTTAAGATTGTCAGCGTTTGTCTTTTTTCACGATAAGACACAACCATGTTTACGTGGTTGTTTTTTTTACATTTTGTGTTAATTAAGGAACAAATGGCAATAAAAAGAGAAAGTTCGGAATAAAGGTTCGTTTCAAGTCTAGCCCTAAATATTTTAGGTCTAGACGGGAAGATTTTTGCCGTAATTTTTTTGTAAAGCTGTTACAGTTACACGATTTACACCCAGTAAAGTCGAAAAAAGAAATGTGTTTAAAAGTTAATAAAATGTTCTGGATTTCAACTAGTATTATGTCTAGGAAAGATAGAGCACAACATTCGACAAAAACCATATTCAGGTCTGAAAGTTCATTTGTATTAAAACATATAATGTTGAAAGCATTTTTTTTTGTCACGTGCGTTTATGTTTCCTGAAGCAAACACCTATTGGAATTTGTTTGCTTTTATTGAATTTGGTTTAAAAATGAGATGCATGTTACATTTTTGTAATTATGACGTCATTGAAAACAACCTTGAACGTAAATTTTCAAACAAACTTAAATACGTTTTCCTTCTTGTCATTGTTAGAGCTTTGATACATTGTGGTAATGGCAATTGCATCATAACTTGAAAATAAGCCAAAGAAAAGGGGTAATTTTTTAACCTTATTAGAATATACTCTAACGTATTTTGTTTTGCTTTAGGCAGAAGTATGTGGTTAACGTACAAGTTAACCGAAGTTTTGACGTTATTGTCATTCAATGAATTAAAGTGAATTGATCGTATTGAAAATGTTTTAATTATTTAAAAAAAAAAAGCATATATATATATATTTTTTATTATTTTCTTGGAAACTGTCTCTATTTCGTTTTTTTGTTTGTTTGTATACTCACATTTTAATATATCATTCTTAATGTATATTTATAATTAAACGAATTGGTGTATCGATATTTCTTATCAGAAGTAGAAGTATATGTGCAGTTAGCATTCTTCTTGAGTGGTAGCCATTTTGAAAAAAGAGCCGAGAACAATAGCACTAAAGAATTTAGAGATTTGAGAAACACAACACATGCAATTGTAAGTTTCATAACAAAATATAAATTAGACAACAACAGTGGTACAACATCTAATTAACATGCTCTGTTCATATCAAGTACCCCAAAAGTGCAATATACATTTGTGAGCGCATTCCAAAATACCGATTACACCCTGTTTAAATCAGTGAGTTTCAAATGCACGCTCATAATTACGTGTATAAAGGGCAATCAATTTTGTTTTAATCAAAGCTACTAGTTTTTATTTTTGTATTTCAAATTTTCGTATTGTGCTATAAACACCAAAAATAATTATAAAGTAGTGTAGAAGGTTGACAAGGTTTTTTTGGCGCATGCGTTTCTATCCTTGTAGCATTGAAAACGTGTTTTCGTGATTCTGGTAAAAAAAAATCCAATGCATGATTGTGATACACGTCGTATCATTTTTGCTTCCAAAAAACCCATGTCACAAATGTATCTCGCTGACAGTGGTCAATTAAATTTAAATTTGAAAAAAACTGTATACTCCTTTCTTTCTTTTATATTTAACACTTAAAATTTAAAGACAAATAGATAACTCAGATTACCCATCAATTTTGTTTTTGTTTAGATTCATTTTTTTTTTTGTAATCCTTGGAATTTCAGTTTCTTTACAGTGTTTTTTTATCCTGTCTTTTCGTTGTATATCTTTTGCCCCGTATGGTTTGTAGTTTCTCTCGATCCTGGGTTTTAAAAAAAATCCTTTGATATTCTGCGCCTCTTTTTTTTCAAATATGTTTATACACGAAGATCTATAATTCATCAACTTACCTTTGGTAGCGCAGAAAAGTTCAATATTCCGCTGTTGAATTGAAGCGAGATAAAAAAAAAAAAAAAAAAACAACAAAAAAAACCACACACACACACACTTAAAGGCGGCGGCGAGTGTGCAACACAACAAAACAAGCCACAATATAACGGAACAACATATCGTTATGTATATTTAATTATTTATTATTAAAATTGAAAGACACACTCCTTGATATACTAAAAGAGACCCTCGACATCATTTGGATACAAAAAATAAAAGATTGAAAACAATGCATTTGTACTATTTATTATATAAAAGTTTTATTGAAATGTACATTTTAGATGTGCACGTGTTTCTTCTTCAAAATAAGTAGGCGTTACTAGCCTTATCAAAACTAGTTAATATGTGTTTTCTATATCTTGTTTTTTTATTTATTGTAGCTTTATGAAGCGTATAACAGTCTAACTGGATTTGTCACCATACGGATCCTTCAATTCAAGTATGTTGTTTTAGAGAACAAGAAACAATAAATGCAGAAATGAAAAATACAATACTATAAGTTACAGAATGATAATTAAAAAAAAGAAGATGTGGTTTGATTGCCAATGAGACAACTCTCCACAAGAGACTTAATGACACAGAAATACACAGCTATTATATGTCACCGTACGGCCTTCAACAATGAGCAAAGCCAATACCGAATAGTCAGCTATAAAGGGCCCCGAAATTACAAATGTATTTAACAATTCATACGAGAAAACTAGAGGCCTAATTAATGTACAAAAAATGAACGAAAAACAAATATGTAACATAGCAACAAACGACAACCACCAAATAGAATGCTTCCCAAGAATACACTCACATATACGCATTCTTCTGATAAAACGTTAAGAAATTTCTGAAATCTTGAAATGCATCATATTAGCAATCAAATGTTCTCCATGGGTTCGAATATAATTCAATTTCGTCAACTTTCTGATCCTTCTGATTTCTCGTTATGAGCGAATTAAAACGACTAGATTGTTTGGGATACTCACGTGTTTTTTCCCTGCTATTCCTACATTTGATAATTCGGTATGTAAAATGTAAAAAATTCATGTAGGAATAGGAGGAATGCTTATACAAACATGGTATTAAGGTGGATTAGGTTGAAAAAACATGAAGCTAATTAACTTCAGGTATTACTAAATTTAAATGGAATACCCTTATAGTTTTCAATTCATGTGCAATTTTAGTGTACTTCATTTGTGTTTATTTCATCATGTTCATAGAATATAGTAAATAGCACAATAATGTAAACAGTATTTATGGTCCCAAAAACCTTTAAGCACTGTAATAGGAATTGTTACAAATACATGAGCAAAACGAAATCAAAAATATAAAAGTATAAAAAGTCGAAAAATTTAATCACATGATGTTTGCCTACATGTAATGTATATAATTTTCTTCTAGTTATTATCATAATTTATGTTAAAATGTTTTATTCTGTAAAGTTTGCAAAGTTTTTTTCTATTTAAAAGTTAAGTATTTTTTTTTTTTTATTGCAAATTCAGACACCAATTTTAGTTTTTTCTCCATAGTAGTTGTCATTACTACCTTATATTGTTTTAATCATTTAGTACTTCATAAAACTCGTTACTGTTTGGTACAGTGTCTGGCCGTTCTTGCAAGGCAAAGGCAGTTTGAATGGTCTCTGGATCTGGCAATGTTAGCGGAGATACTTGTGATGGTATACGGGACCATCGAAGTCAAACCCTCTGTAAAATCTATCCTATAACTCTTACATGTACTTCTAGGTTTGAATGAAGAATCGAAGTATCGGCGATGACATGTCTTCTGGGAGTTGTATGGATTAGTTAAAAAAAGATCCTAATTAACAACTATTGGCTTAGTCTTTTTTCATTTCGATCAACTTCATACTTTTGTAGCATTTATTCTAGCATCAACACGATTTCATAAGAACATAGTCAAAATAAATAAAGATCAACGTACAATATAATATCCTCATCAAGATATCGATTAAACTTTTAAAAATAAAAGCAGTTTTGATAAGGGTTTATTATTTTTTAAACTTTTTTTGTTAATTTTTAACAAAAATACATGTTTTGGGGGGAATGTTCTAGTCTATATTCTCGAACGAACGAACGAATGAATGAACGAACGAACGAACGAACGAACGAACGAACGAACGAACGAACTAACGAACGAACAAACGATGAAGGAAGGAAGGAAGGGAGGTAGGGAGGAAGAAATGAAGGAAGGAACGAACGAACGAACGAAGGAACGAACGAAGGAACGAACGAACGAACGAACGAAGGAACGAACAAACGAACGAACGAACGAAAGAACAAACGAACGAACGAACGAAAAAACGAACGAACGAACGAACGAACGAGGAAGGAATATCAAATCATCAAGACTTTCCTCAAACAATTTAACACAGATTGTGATTTCAATACCAAACACGCAGAACATTATTTTTTTGCAGAGTGAGAAACCCTATTGCCAAGCAAAGAAGACGACGTCAGATTAACAATAGGTATGAAGGTTAAACAAATTGCCTCCGTTTAATTAACATTTACAACATAGAAAATATAGTTTATACAACACAAATTTTAAACGGAAAAAAGTATCCTTAATCACTGAAATTAAAACTTGAGGGCCTTTTTTTCCTTCTCTGATGTGAAGCATGCGTGTAGAAAAAAATAAGTCTACCAAAGACCAAAATTGAATAGATGTGCACAGCTCTGTTGGTCTATATAGGGCCTTCACAAATGAGTAGAAGAATTATGTATGTACAGAAAGCTATAAAATGCACCGAATTGACAAAATTTAAAGACTCTCAATGAAAAACCAAAAGGCTTGATTAATGTACCAAATAACAGGCAATCATTAAACGACAAAAACTAAGTTACTGGCTTCTGACTTTGAACAGACACATAGCACCTGCAAAGGAATTTTTACACGCCCTTATTCTGTCATTAAGACTTTGTTTTCACATAAAATATTCATCATAAAAAGTAAACTAAGGTTTTCTTCGTGTAGGTAAAAAAGTTATACTTACACTGAAAACAATTGCCCGTTTTGACTGAAGTGCACTTTTTATTTTAGAATTAATACCATTTGTCAACATAATAATTATCGAAATCTTATCGATGTGTGTTATATGATAATATCGACTCCTTCACTTCTCGTGGTTGAATAAATATATCAGCTATATACGCAACTATACATTTATATTCATTTTATCTCGTTTGATTCATATTTGAAGACATTAAAAAAAGTAAAGTAACAAAATGTACAATATGACTGACATTAAAGCTGAATGAGTTTGATTCTGCCCTTTCTAAAGCGTCTGGATAATTTGATATTTGATATAACGAAAATATGCTAAAAACAATAGGCAACGTGCACCTTCGACAGCAATCGTAAAAGCCTGTCTGTTTTAAACTATGATCCAAATTCAATTTAATTGTTGCGAGAGTTCATTTATTTCGCTTCGACTAATGTTTTTATTGCCCTAAGTATTTTGCCCGCTTTTTATTTATAAAAAATATATAAAGAGTGCATTTGAACGGTAATGCTATTTTAAGCCATCAGTTTGTTAAACATTCACATTTAACATGAAGTCTGTCATCATGTCTTCCTTTGCTATCCTCAACAAATATAATTGTTTTGGTAATATCATAGGTACAAACAGTCTGAAGTAACACAAACATTAGGTAACATTTCAAAAATATGCAGGATATCTGAACTTAAAAGTAACTGAATTTTTATGAGTTTCTTTCTTATCGCAAAAACAATATAAAAGACGGAATAGCGTTAGTAAATGTATATGAGAGTTGTCCTAACCAAATGCATTCATTTTTTTGAAACAGCGAACTAGAGGTCGTTTCACAGTTAGTGTTCAAACCATACAAAAATGATACTGACAGAAATGACGACGATATAACGGACGAAATGTTTGAAATGACAATCACCCTTTTAAACAACGGATCGGGGAAAATTGGAAATTACCAGTTTAACAAAAACAAAACAGAGGAATCGCTACAAATGCTTAACAATGCAGGTAAGCTTGTTTATTTATTTATTTTTTTTTTGGGGGGGGGGGGGGGGGGGCAATTTGCCCAAACATAATACAAATGACCACACGTGTTACTCTCGGACTATTATCTTAAACTTACAATTATATTCATTTTACAGCATGGTTAGGTTTGCACACATTTGTATTATTCGACGACATACACTTAATCAAATAAACGAGAATATGATGGGTAAATGCCAAAGGGAAAGCAACCAGCAATTCATTGAAAAATTCCTAACAGGAATAGATAAAATAAGGACAAAGAAACGTTGTATTGAAATGCCAAGGCAAAACCATCCTGAGGTATGACAATGGCTTAATCCTTAACACTTAAATGTGTATATAGATGTATCTTTAATCATCAACAACGAGAATTTGTCCGTATTTGTTTACACCATATACATGTACGAATATCAGTGACCAAATATCATGGCTTGACTTCATGTATCTGTTTTAGTAACGTCAGCGTTAAAACAAGTTGGACATAAGCTTTGTGGTAAAGGAATCACGCGAGAGTGTGAGTGGTATGCACCTTGTAAGACAAATCCTTGTCAACATAATGGGAAGTGTGTAATAAACGACAAACAGAATGCGACATGCAAGTAAGCAATTGTAATGATAGACTATTGATTTTTTTTCAGAAATAAAAATTCGTGCGCATTTTTCCCAATTTGTGTTTTTCTAAATAGAACAAACTGTTCTGAAGCTAGTAATTGTTAATACATTTTCAGAGAACTGCTCATGACGTACATTTTTGTACCAGTCAGTGTACGAAGCTACTTAGTATCTGTATATTATATTGAATATGCCTGTCAATTTGTACCGCCGTAGTTGTTTTGTGGTAGCATTCCCGAGTCGTCAAGGGTTTGAAAAGAAAACTTGCTGCTATATCTTCCTTTAAGTTTTAAATTTGTGATAAAAAAAAATTAAAGATACCAGGATTTATATAAAAATAAATGAAGAATGTGTCCATGATACACAGATGATGCCCCAACTTGCATATAACGTTATTCAGGGACACAATTTAAGAACGGTTAAAGTGGCGCCACCTTAATTCGAACTTAATTTGAGTTTTGTGGTAGTAAGCATTGTGTATAAATTTCATAAAATTTGGTCGAGTCTAACTTTTAATTAGTTAGAGAACAGAAACGTAAAATTCAGCATTTCTAGATCTGTTATTTGTAAAGGGCTTAACTCTTGAACGGTATAAGTGACGTCTCCAAAATTCTAACTTGATCTGTGTTTTATAGTAATAAGCATTGTGTATCAGTTTCATAACATTTGGATGAGACAAACTAAAGTTAGAGAATGGAAACCAATTTCGGATTATCTAATTTAAAGACAAACGTTCTATAAACCAACGG